CACACTCCTCCAGCAAGATGTAGAGCAGCCTGGAGATGTTTCTCATTTAAACTGTTTAATTTTTGGACCCCTGTGAGCTCTGGCATTTGCAGCCTGGGGCAGGCAGTGTGTTTCCCAGTTTCACAGTGCACTGGGGCCACTGGTACTTCTCTTTGCTTAGAATTTGGTTTTAAACACGTCTTCTGTGCCAAGACATAGTTTCACCTGTGTTTAAACGTGATTATTTATTACTGCAATCTTTCCTGTGGGTTTTTTTTTTTTTTTTCCTGAGCATAGAGTTTTTGACTGCTGTTTCAAACAATAAATCATTATTTCCTGCTTCCCCTGCATGGCAATTGTGTATTTGCAACAAGATCTAAAGCTTAACTGCTAGTGCAGAAAAAGCCTCCACATTCAGCTCCAACCTGCACAATGCTGAGGGACACAATGCTGGGAAAGATGGCATAAACCTCCGAATAAAAACATGCTGTACCCATAGTTATGCCTTTGGTTCAACAGCTGCCAAGGGATGAGTCTTCTGGAACCTGCACATCTGGAGCAGGCAGAAAGCAGAGGGGACAGGTGCTGCATTCAGCTGGGCACGTCCTCTATCAACTGCAGTCGCTCAGCTCAAGCGGAGGCTGAAAGGAGCAGAGCTGCACAAGCTCACAGCTGGACCATAACGATCCACATCTATTCAAAGATATGCTTAACTGCTTGCACTCAAATTATTTTAGCATCACAGCATTTCCTGAATAAATCATTTTCCAAAATGCAAATTATGGCTGGGGAAAAAGTTCCGAACTTTGCCCTTCACATATCTTTGCCCTTGATATGTCTTTATATTTAGTTTGTTGGCTACCAGAGCCCCCATAGCCAAGACATTACTGACAGACAGGAGACGAGTAGTTTCTTTTCTACACTCCAGTGACCAGGGTCCCAGTATCCAACGCTGGCCTACCTGTGAGAGAGCCAAGCTCAGTTCTGTCTTCCAAACTAGGCAGATTAGGGTGTTTTTTAAAAAAATCTCCTTTGCAAAAGCAAGGCCATGGGTCTGTTAAAAAGAGCAGCTATTTTCCTCCTTGCTTGTCTTTTTGTCTCTCTCTTGTGCAAGACCCAAGCTTTAAGCTTTGTGTACTGTAAAGTCCCATCTGAAAATCCCGTAAGGATGGCAACCAGCAGGTGGGCAGCAGGACTTACTCTGTGTACACTCTCTTACACAGGGCTCCCACCCCAGCACGGAGCTGGGACAGCGTCTGCCCCACTGAAGCCATGTACAGTTAGATCTTACTGCTGCAAAGAGAAACGCAGGAGAGGGAAGAGCATATGCTGCTGTGTCCAGGGAGCAAAAACGATAAAAAAAACTGCTCAGTTTAATCAATGCTTGGTCTCCAAGAGAGTAAACAGAATGAACACAGAGCCTTTAAAGTTCAAAACGTTCACAGCACTGTAATTTAACTATATACTTTAGCAGCTCTAAGGAAATACCATAGAAAAAGCTTCATTAAAAAAACCTGTAAATCACTGGGGCTGAGAGGAAAAAACCCCCAAACTTTACAACATGGTATCTTTCAAACAAGAAAGCCTGAAAGTCAAGAAGGCAAAGCTAAACAAGTACTGCATCTAATTTTAAGGACATCCAAAAATCAAGAGATTTAACTCCTGATGATAAACCACTTTGAGTTGTCTACACTTATCTTATGGCATATGCCCATTAATTCCATATGATAAATGCAAAACCCTGATGTATAAATACAGCTTTCAGGTACTTTTTTGCCAAGTCTGCAAACTCTAAATTTAAGGAGATACCTTGCAATAGTTCAAGCTGTTCTGAAAATACCAAAACCACTTTTTCACCCTTCTAAATCCACTTTGTTTTCTATTCTTTGCTTTCCATAGAAGTGTTAGACCTGTATAACCTTATTCTCTGAGAAAAAAGGTGCAAAAAGCACCAACAGTGAGCCTGTGCAGCCAGTTACCATTCAGATACCGATTCTAAGCAGACAAAGCCTTTGGTTTAACGTGCCTACAGGCTTTCTTGATTTTCCAGTTTAAGTAAATAAATTGCCCAACCAACAATCCTTGAGACCTGTCCACCGTAACAAATTAAAAAGATTAAACACAATGTAAAGTCTTTTCACCCCATTGCAACAGAAGGACAAGACTCCCTGAAGTCTGTTAAGTTTTACTACAGACATAGATTTGATGCAAAAGCTACATAGATGCCTCAGATGTGGGTCCTAAATTTAAAAAGGACACTTCCACGGAACTATACATAACTTAAGGCCAGGCTGCCACCAAGCTGAACTACATTTTCCTGCACTGCAACTCAGACAACACACAGTTAGCTGACGCTGCTGGAAAACAATCACTTTTTCGTAGGGTGCTTTCAGCTAGATCAGGTTTCTGAAATGAAATGCCAGCCTCCAAGACCAGTGTAGGGCAACAAGCCCTACACTTGGTTCTAATTTTAACTTTTTTAAACAATAAACAGGGGAATATCTATGCCAGCTCCCTGCAGTGAAAGGTGCCTCGTCCTGTCCAGATTAGAAACAAGGACTCTGCCTCCCTTAATACACTCATGCTCCTTCACTGGCTACAGACTCCTCCTTACTGGCTTCTAGTTCTGAAGACTCTTCTGCTGAAGCACTCATTTGTGGGATCATGCTGTGACATTTAAACCAAGTATTGCAGTGCCTCCTGTTGATATTAGTCCTTTCACTATATGAGAGGTGTGAACTCTCTGACTGGTATTGAACTTAGTTCACCCCTGTACACTGTCAACTGCTAAACACCAGTTAGTGTTTCTAAAAAGCTTTTCATAGTGCTGGTATCACTAAACCCATTAGCTTACTGCAGTTTCTGAGATGGATGCTTGTGACTTACTGATCATATTCCACATAGTATCTGTTGAAGCAGTATTTTCCCCAAGTGATGAACAATGCAGTCCCTGAAAGGACTGAGAGCGTTTTTTTCTTAACAATTAAGTGCCAAAAAGTGATCACGTAACTGAAAGGCACAGTAACACTAATGTTGTCCCCTACCCTAAAGGGCAAGCATCTTAGCTATTTCTCAACATACACGTACTGGCTCTTTGACCACACATAGTATAAATTCTTCATTATATATGGAAAAAAAAAAAAGGAAATGGCTGTGTTTTCGCTTACTAGTTTCAAATAAATGGTCACTAAGCTAAAAGCAGCCAGCTGTGAGGTTCTAGCATAATAATTTCCATTGCATGTGCAAACACACTCCAACACAATCATAAAATTGGTGCGGTTCTACCACCTCCTAATCATTACATTTGCTTCTTTAATCTCAGACATATGAAATAAGCAACATCTGCTCTTATGGTGAACTTTACTTCATCACAATTTGCATTTTCAGGAAACTAAAAACCTCTAAACTTCCTTCAAAAAAGGGGAAGGGCCTCAAAAAAAAAAAAAAAAAAAGAGGAACACAAATTCTTAGACTTTCTTGCAAGCAATAAATAAATTAAGAGTATGTTTAAAGATAACAAGAGTTCATGCTTTCCCTGCAGCACATTCTGTGTGGAAAGACACTCGCTTTGTACTGCGTTCTGTCTAACAGTCTCCAGGATAATGATAATAAATGACAGTTTATTAATGGCATTTGTCTTGGGTTAAGCAGAGGGTTAATTTTTTTTTTCTCTTCTTCATAAATTCAATTAAGATTACGGTTTGTCTAATTCTCACATGAAGCTGGGAGCTTATTTCCTGGAAAACAAGATGCAGGTTGTGCAGTAGCTGACTAATTAAAGGATTTAAGAACAATGTATTACAACAGTTTATTAACACCAAGACAAGACACGTAAAAATAATCAGCTTTTACAGGAACAAAAGCATAATACAGTAATAAATCTTGCCTGTTTTGCAAAAGTTATCACCATAACTGAGGCTGTATATAGTCTGGTAGTCTTCCACAGAAGAATTACCTTAAACTCCCATCAAGTTCTCTGATCCTGCATCAAACTCCTAAATGTTTCTACTACAAAACCTTCCCTTTCGGCAGATGGATATTATCCAAATACACTCTCTTGCTTTCTCAAACAACATAGCAGTGCAGATTTTCTTCACCAACCTCGGCAATTTTGCACAGCTGCTTCAGGTCCACCAATTAAAGTGTACTTATGAAAAGAGAATGACTTTTCTACCTCGTCTTTTCTTGTCCAGATTATACTGATAGCAAGAAATCTCTCAAGTGTGAAAATGTTCATTAGCAAGGAAGAAAAGTGAGCATCTCAGGTGGTGAATTACTTCTTTTTCTTTTTTTTCTTTTCATCTGCTGCCATTTTTAACTTGACTTCTTCCACAGGAAGTGCTCCTAATTTCTTCTTCTTTGCATTCTTTACCTTTTCCTTGAGGGCTTCAATATCAATCTTTTTCTCAGTGGAGGCTACATAGTAAAAAAAGCAAAGACGACAGACATGAATTTTACTTTTTCTCAATTTTAGCGGTCTACAAGATGACTTCATATGTATACACAGTAAGCTGCATCCTATGGCATTGGTTAAGACTCATTTTATGTTCACTCACCATTTTGTGAACTACTCTAATAATTGTTTTTGATGAAACTAGTATTATGCACACACCTCTTTCAGCAGAATTAAAAGGAGAACATTCATATCAGAAATCCTGTACAGCTGCATTTGAACACCGATGCCACATTCTGCACACGTACAGACTATTACCACCCAGGTATCAGACCACAGATGTACTCCTCCAAAACTAATACGTACACAGTCTCTTGGACATAGGCCTATTGGCTTGGTTGGTCTCACATGAGAAGAAATTGTATATATATACCCAGAGAAGCTTTCATGGTATTTTTTCTTTTTGCACATAATTAAGGTGGTAAGATCCCAAACATGCCTGTCTCATCGTTATGCTCTTATACAGATGCTGTCAGAAACAGGATGGGGTGGGCAAGGGGGGATACAATACAGATCTTTGATCTGACCGCTGCATGAAGACCTTTATAAGAGACTTCTACAGGGAGTGCCAGAGTACTTATATTAAACACTTAATGCTGAGCAACATGAATAACCTACTCTTATGTTCATCTAGGTGATGGTATTTTCTCTTTTGGGCCTGAGTCATGAGTTTGGATCAGTTAATTCCTACATCTACCAATGGGTACCAGCTGTCCTTCCTGGACCTCAGTCCTTCTCTACATAAAAACTATTGCTGTAATTTATTCTTGGAAGGACTTCAGGTCAAAACACGGAGCAGCTAGAAAAGCACAGTATTTGAGATATGGTACAATCAACTGCGGCATTATTGAAAATTTACTGCCATTACAAAAAAATACTGTATCAATGCTACAGAACACATATGCTTTTCAAGAAAAAACAAACTTTTCAAGAAACTGTGCAATATATAGTGTAATAGTGTGTAGGCAGTGTATCTAATACAAAACGTACATAGTATATCTAATACAATGAATGAATACATAGCATAACCAATGAATCCAGAAAACAGAAGACTTGTTTCTCTAGTGCATTAAAAATATATCATCTGACAACATGCATTCTTACTCTGCATATAGTGTGGTTTCACTTTAACTTTTAGAAAAGCTATTTACCCTATGTTATACCAACACTTACTTGTGGCATAAGTTTTCAAGTAAGTATTGCTTTTGGGCTTCTTTTTCTTAACAGAAAAGCCATTTGAGTGCAAAAGTTATGGCAGCTTCACTGCAAGACTGAAACCCAAAAATTTATGTAGTCAGAACATCTGAGATGGCTGTCCCAGTATTCCCATCAGGAAAGTGTTCTACAGAGAATGGTCATTTTATAGGTACAGAGTTATGGGCCGCATGATATTTCTATTGTCCCTGGCAACTCCAGGCATGGATCTAACCACTAGGATTTTTTTGCATAACCTTTCCGAGAGCTGTATCACTGCAAAATCACTCAGACTGGGAATCAAGAGCAGAAGGTTTTATAACAGGAGAAAAGAAACTGTTACCTTTCTTTGTTTTTACAACTGGCTTTTCCTTTGGTGGGATAAAAGCTTTATTTCTTTCTTCTTGTCTTTTCTTGACTGCATCTGCTTGCTTTGCCTAAAGTTACCAATAAAAAGGTCAAGTACAGCAAGGCAAAAGGGGTAAAAAAATAAAAATCCAAGTCATCAGTCACATGCTTTTTAACTGAACAGTGGGTTAGAACAACTTTACCTTTATCTCTTCCACTCGCTTTCGTTTCTTCTGTCTTTCTTTCAAGAAGTATTCACCACTTGCCAATTCTTTATCAATCTGCATAAGACAAGTACAGAGAAGCTTTAGATAGTTATGCATTGCAAGCCAGATGTATAGTATCAGGAAATCAGAACTTGACCGAAAAGGTCTCCCAACTTGTTAGCAAGAACAACATTTCAAGACATGCTATATTCCTGGATAACCAAATAAAGTTTCAGCTGACCTGGCTTTCTGGCTGTGGAGGTGGGAACGGTGTGTACTCCTTCTTAGTATTTTTCTTCTTTGGCTCCTTGCGTTTTTTCAAGTTCTTCCGCTTGAACTTAGGCAAAAATCTTTCCCAACTTTGTGACCTCAATTCAGGATCTTTTGATAATTCCCTTTTGATCATCAAAGTCTTCAGTAGTTTTAGCGTGTCACAAAGAAGTTATTAATAAAATAGTATTACAGTAGTAGTCAAGAGCTCCAAACTACAAGTTTTACTAAACTTTTGTACAGTGAATATGCTACATTCGAACCTTCCATCTCCCACTTCAATAAGAGAGAGCAGAGGGGTTTCATTACAAAGAGCAGAACAAGAAAGATATATGCCTCAAAACAGGGACAGACTGCACTGGAGAAGGTGTCTCAGTTTAAATGACCAAGTATCAAGCAAACAATCAAAGAGTGTAAAGTTTATAAACACTGGAGGGTGTAAGAATCAAGGGGTTTTTTTAAAGAAACACACTACAGAAATTCTCAAAAATAGATTATCACACAGAAACATGTAAATTATTAACACACAACTCTCTGAGAAAAAATGGTACTTTCTTGAAAATAAAGACACACAGTGGACCACACTAACCTTAATGTTATATATGGGATGTATATTCTTCATCGTGTCCAGAACAACTTTTCTAACCTGCATTCAATAACAATAGTAAAAAAAGAACAGAAAACTCAGCAAGTATTTAATATTCTAATCAATTAAAATACCACATATACTATCATGCTTCCTCTGCTCCCTGGCCCCCAAAGTAGGTAGATTTAAAAAGGTAACGCACACAGCTAACTAGAAGGGCCAGCACTTCAGACATATCAGTAACACTGTCATGTTTCTAATACATTCCAGCACATCCCACAAACATTACTTTCATGTCACCACGGATTTTATGGTGTCATGAAAAACTCTTGCTTTTGACAAGCATTCTTCTCCTAGTTACCAAAAACATTAGATGTTCCTTAAAGTTATACATCATTAACTCTGCAGTATTTTCACTCTTACATCTCTTACCTAAACAACGACAATTCTTTTTTTTTTTCACAACAACTTCCAAGGCAGAAAGATCTGAGCCTAAACAAAATTCAGCAGCTAAGACACTATGGACATTCATGTAAATGTAGCTTACTAACACACTGCCAAAAAGTGAGATACTCTCGACGTTGCCAGACTTTGCCTCTCGTCTGCCCTCAAGCTGGGCACAGAAGTATGCTGCACCAACTACTCATCTGCCTTCCCTTACCTCTTTTAGCCCACTAAAGGGTCCAAGAGCTGAAACAGTGTTGCCTTGCACCATAATATAACAGTTAGTTAACAGCTCCAGGGCCTACACCAAAAAAAGAAATGCAGTAAGTGTAAAACTGAAGACCTGACACAAGTTTGGTCTAAGAATTTTCTGGTTACTACACCTATCGGAAATACCTTCAGAGTAGATCCTTTTGGCCCAAGAAGTCGTCCTCTTCTTTTTATAAAAGTGTCTCTCTTCCTCACCAGAGAGCCTATTTTAATGATGTCACATGCAACGTCATCCTGAAGGATACGAACCGCCTAAAGAGACAAGAAGCAGGCAAGATCATCTGAACACAAAGATATTATTCAGAAGAGTCAAGAGAATACTGCAGGTTACTCTTCTCACTTCACCTTCAGATATATTTACTTTACATATACATTTCATTTCACTTGACTCAGTTGAAAATCCCACTTTTTGAAAATGTACTATTTGATAAGTATTGCGATAGAATTTGATACAAATTTCTAGGATTTAATACCAACCTGTTCAAATGGAACGCTTCTTGCTAGGAGTTTGATTAAATCTCTAGCCCTGATGATTACATATGGATCAAAAGTCTTCTTAGTGGTAGTGACAGTCATGCTTCCTTCAATTAGGTCCAGTGTTGCATTCACATACTGCAATATTTGAAAAGAAACAGTAAATCAATCTCTGAATTAGAACCTCAGAATTCAAAACAAGTTAATACACAGAATGCTACATCTCGAATGCAAACCCATCTTCCAAATTTCCTAAAGCGACTTTCAGCTCAAGGAAATTCACACAAAGAAACACACAAAAACGATGGAATATATGTGTCACAAGGCCTGAAACACCACCTCCCTCACCTCCCTAAATTCAGGCACAATAACAAAGCTGTCAGCATCTGGATGACAAAATACTTGCTGCTGCAAAGAATTTTGCTGATAACATCTGTAAAGAACTGCAAGTCTAGCTACACAGACTTTCACTGATTTTGATCGACAATAAAAAAATGACACTAACAATTCTAGATGCAAGCACAGTAGAAATATACACAAATACAGTACCAGAAAAGCAACTTGCACTATTTTTATAAGCTTAAGTAACACCTGTATCTCCTAAAAGATAAAACAGTATCACCATCAGGAAGTATGCATACATGTTCACCCAAGGCTTTCTGGACGAGTGGCCAGCACTCTTTCAAGTACGCTTCTCTATACTTAGGGAATAATGTTGCAAAACTGCTTTCTTCCAGCAGCCCTTTGGGATTATCCTCTCTTGTAAAGGCTGGCTCTCTCCATCCATCTGGCACAGTGAGAAGTTCAGATTCATCAACTGTTATGGGTATAAAAAAAAAAAAAAATTCCTTCTCTTTCATCAGTGACTACTTACATCTCCTCCCCCTTTAACTACAAAAGATACAATAACTGAAAGCAGGGACACAATGCTTTGTCTAATACTCTGCTGAATGTGTTTTTCATCTTGTCTGACCTTAAAGAAGTTACTGCTTTAAGCTATTTATGACCAAAAAAAAGTATGCACAACTGCGACATGCATTGTGGAAACGATATTATACAAGAACAAGACAGAAGAGGCTGAGGCGAGCAACCAGAGCACTGTGAGGCCAGGCGCGCCCCTCGCACCCACCAGCAGCCCATATCCCACCCAGCCGCAGGCCGGGAAGCAGCCTCTTCCTCTCGCTGCCTCTCCGCTTACACGAAATCGCGGCCAAACCCCTCAACCCCCGGTTCTTTTAGGAAATCGGGGACGGGGGCACCAGGACGTGACAGCAGGCCTGCGGCCACGGGGGACCCT